AGCAACCGCTAGCGCAGAGGCCCTTATTGCAAGACAACTTAACGCAAGGCCAGCAAGGTGAGACCAATGCAAACAAGAAACTACTGGCACCAATCACTCAGCTGCCCGTCACCCATAGCAATGCTGCGCCACGTCTGGTACAGACATTAAGCGAAAGTATGGGAGGCCGTAAGGCAAGGAACCTCCGTCACCTAAAGGGGCGTCCGCTTCAAAAAAATAAAAAACCGGCTCAGCATTTGAACAAAAAAAAGGGTGCTGGATCTCCGTTCAGCACTGACGTGAACAAGGTACATTATGCTTGTATGTCGAGGCAGTGCAGAGTATGCTCAGCTCTGGGTTGGTCCTCGGCGCTGACCTGTTTCCGTCTCCAGCCCTTGGATTATATGGCGCAGCAAAATGTTCTACACTCCTCTGTTGTTGCGCGAAGCCTGACATTGCATATGCTTTGCCTCCGCCGAGCGATTCCGAGAAGCCTTCGGTGAGAGGACGTTCAACTGACGTGGTCCCTTCACGACAGCGTCGTTAAGGCTGAGACTCGCAGGTCCGCACAGCCAGGCCGACCCGCGAGCTTGCGAATTTCAGTTGCTGAGTTTCTTCCAACGAAACAACTCGGGTCGCTTCTTCTGTGTTTGACAGGCTCACCTCTCTCGCCACATCCGCCCGCAAACTACGCACCTGGGCTGCTGTTCGCTTTCATGGCTCTCCGCTCCGGCCCAAGGGCCTCCCCAAGACATGCTTGAGGGCAGACTTGACCCGAGGTCTCAAGGCGTGGCTGGCTCTCCGCAGTGCTCGTGCCGATGTGCTGCGTTTCGGCCCGTCGTGCCAGCACGCTGCCTTGGTGAAGGTGCGGGGCTGCAATAGGTGGCACCTGTAGAAAAGGATTTTAAGACCAGACTACGGTCAAAATGTGCAAGTTGCGGTGCTGCAGCCGCTTTTGAAGGCGATCGAGGAGTTCGCGATGCTGTGGTTGACGCCCTAAAGCAAACCGAGTTCCCGACCCTGTCATTTTTTGCGTGCTCTCGCGACTTCTCAGAATGTCCGGCAGTTGCCAGGAAGCAGAGGCTGCGCCTCCCTGGCATTTGGTAAAAATTGGCTTGCGTAGCATGAGCAATCAGAACCTTCCTACGAATCCGATTTTAAGAGATCATCAGAAGCTTTGGAGAACAGGGGCGAAACAACAGCATCCCGGTCAAACACGAGCTGTTGGAGCAGTCAAGGATGTTGGGGATGTGGTTGAAGCAAGCTGAACTTATCGCGCAGAAACCAGGGCCGCATGTATGCAATCCGGATGATCTGACCTGTGCAACGGCCCGTCTGGGCCAGATGCCGGTGGAAGACGCCGTGGAACTTGTGAAAGGTGGGATTCAACTCAAATAAGCGAGGTTATGTTTTGAAGGAGGCTCCGGTTCAGCTTCTGATCCGTTTTTGCAATTCTCAACAAGGAATGATGACAGGTACTTCCAAGTTTTCAGGATCCCAGTTGCTTCGGCTCACAGTGATAGCGGCAATCGCTTATCGTCTCGCTCATTGCCCAACAGCGACACAAAGCACAAGCTGTGCACACCAGGTCGACTGTGGCTGCGGCACACACTGGTGCACAAAATGTGCTGCTTTTGTAGTTTTACCATATGCCTTCTGAGTTGAATTGCAGGCATCTTTTCTAGGCATGTAGAAATACAGCATCAGTCAGACCTAACACACGGGAGGAGCTGCTTTTGTTCTGTGTGTCTTTTTTGGGGGAAGGAGGCAGTGGGGCATGGGGAGGCCCTTCCCAAAAAACCTATTCGCCAAGATGCCAAAAGCCCCGGACGCGCTTCTGGCTCCAGCGACGCAGCTGTAGAGAACTTCGGTGTCGCACTGCTACACTTGCACCTCTGAGACAAGGTCACTTAGCACCCGACAAGCAACCAGGATTCTCCCAGTTGCAACAAGCAGAAGCTTCGGGATTCCTCTCGGCGCCCCCCCCAACTTTTCGCTCCCGGAGGTGGCCTGGAGGGATGCCCTATAAAAGGGTGTAGGGATGCCCTAAAAGGGTGTTGGTTTAGGGTTTAGGGTTTAGGGTTTCGGGTTTAGGGTTTAGGGTTTCGGGTTTAGGGTTTAGGGTTTAGGGTTTAGGGTGTAGGGTTGACGGGGTTTAGGGAGCTCCCCGAAGCGCAGGTTTGGTATCTCAGCTGCCTGCAGAAAGGTGGTTTTCAGTTTTGGCACCTGAGTTCTCACCCTAAACCCTAAACCTTACACCCTAAACTCCGCAAACCCTAAACTCCCTAAACCCTAAACCCTAAACCCTACACCCTAAACCCTTCTCCTTCCAGGCTTCTTGCAGCTCCGCCCCGGGCCGCGCATGACCCAGAAGTGTGGAGGCCGAGTGCTCACCGAGGAGGAGGCGCGGCCCTAATCCCTGAACCCTGAACCCTAAAACCTAAACCCTAAGCCCTAAGCCCCAAAAAGGGGCAACACATTGAGCCGGCAAAATAGCGCAAAGTAAAGTTCCTCCTCCCCCTTTTCAAATGGGTTGGTTTAGGGCTTTATTCGCGTTTAGGGCCTGCCAGACACGAGGTCCTTCAAAGGGTCTCTCTGAACGTTTAAGGGTCTTCGAGATTGGCAGGCGGGCTACCCGTACCCGCTCACCCTAAAGCCTCAACCCTAAACCCTAAACCCTAAACCCTAAACCCTAAACCCTAAACCCTAAACCCTAGACTCTAAACCCTAAACCAACCCTCAACCCTAAACCCTAAACCCTAAACCCTAAACCCTAAACCCTAAACCCTAAACCCTAAACCCTAAACCCTAAACCCTAAACCCTAAACCTTAAACCCTAAACCCTAAACCCTAAACCCTAAACCCTAAACCCTAAACCCTAAACCCTAAACCCTAAACCCTAAACCTAAACCTAAACCCTAAACCCTTAGCTGTAAATCTTGAATGCCAGGTCCACTGGCCGCTCGGAGGAACGTCAAGTTCGGCGTCACCTCTCATGGCTGAGGTTTTCTTTTTGGGCTTTGATGTTGAAGTGTCGGGCTTATGAATGAAAAAACAGATTTAAAAAAAACAATGAATATAAATAAATACATGTAGATAGATATGTGTGTGTGTATGTATGTATGTAGGTAGGTATGTATGTATGTATGGATGTATGTATGTATATGTGCAGAGATATATATATATATATATTTTTTTTCTATGTTTATCATATTATCTTCACATATAAGGTTTGTTTTGGTTTAGTTTAGGGCTTGTTCGGCTTTAGGGTGCGTGTGCTCTTGTGGCGTGAAGAGGCTCAGAGCTTCTAGTGCCCCCCAACCCCCCACCCTACTAAGCAGGTACCCATGTTGCGTGGGTACCCCCAAAAGGGCCCTAGCTTACATCAAATGCTTTCGCAACCCATGGTCCGAGGAATGTTCTGAGGGCCCTGGATCTCGAGGAGAAGCAGCTCGGCTCGGGCGGTTTCAGCCCCAAACCCCAAACCCCAAACCCTAAACTTGAACACCCTCAAACCCTCAACCTTGGGCTGTTCCCCCTTGTACTAAACAGTCATCACAATGGGGGGGTACTATTGTCCCCATTCAAGACTGTCTGGGTAAGGCCCAACCTCAACCCTCAAAGCCCTCTGGTTCGAGCAACAGCCAGCTGGCGTTGTGGGTTTATCGGCCCTTGGAGCCCTTCGAGTTGCAGGGTTAGAGGGCACAACCACCCCGAAAACCCGCCAGAAGGCGCAACCCCGAATTTTTCCCAATTTTTCCCACCTTGGAACCTCCAAACCCCTAGGCCCTTAGCCCCTAAGCCCTTAAACCCTTAAACCCCAAAACCCAGACGGGGATTATAGTAGCCCTACCATAATCCCGATTAAGGACTGGTAGGACAAGGGGGGAACATCCCAAGCTGTTCTTTTCATGCCCCGAGCCTTTCAGGAAAGACCTGAGACGCCTCGGAAAGGCCGCGTGGGGGTGTAGAAATCGAAGCGGGCTGTCCAGTTCAAACTTGCCAGAGCGAGTGGGTATGAGGTGATCTGCGGTTTAGGGTTTAGGGTTTAGGTTTAGGGTTTAGGGGTTAGGGTTTAGGGTTTAGGGTTTAGGGAGCTCGCTGAAAAGCCTTCATCATAGATGGGAGCATGTGGCAGCGCTTTTTGTCCAATCTCTTACGACAACTCTCCCTCCTTCCCTTCCTCCTACTTAGTGCGTCCTCAGCGCCGCGTTCTAAGCGGAGAGCGTTTTGCCCTTCCCTCTTTGAACCCCGCAAAACCCCAGAAAACACCAACGAGCTCCCAAACCCGAAGCCCTAACCAGTTGGCCGTTGCAGCGCCGATGTGCCACAGGAGTATGAAGAGCGAAAAGTCGATGCAGTGCCCCGACGGAAAGTTCAGGCTTGTCCAAGGTGCTTTTCCGGGCCGTGCAGGAGGGCATGGTGCTTTGGTGCTCCAGCGTCGGAGGAGCTGCTAGAACAGTCCCGCGCTTCCATGATGATGATGATGATGATGATGATGATGATGATGATGATGATGTTGTTGATGTGGGTGAGGGTGAGGGTGAGGGTGCGGGTGAGGGTCAGGGTGAGGAGGAGGAGCAGGAGGAAGGGGAGGAGGAGGGGGGGTGGGTGACGGCAACATTGTGACGATTGCAACTATTGTGATATTCTTGCGCCTGAACTGAACCCGACTCGCAAGACGCCTGTTGTTAGAAAAATTGTTCCAAAAGACTATCGACACTAGTTTCAAGAACCTTTTGGTTTCTTCGTACTTATTCCCTCACCCTCTTCCAGGAAACCCCGAAGCACAAAGAATGGTGCTTTGCGTGGGAGGGGGTTTTGGCTGCTGTCTGCCTGGCCAAATGACTTTCGTTGCCCAATTATTCTCGATGTTCCGTGCAGGTGTTGCCTTGCGAAGCTTTGGGCTTCTAGTATTGAGGAAGTTACATTGCCCCTGTGAGTTTCAGTGACTTTCGTGCTTGGGGTTGCGATGTAAGGTGGATAACATCTGTGGCGAGAATGGCGTGCCGCTTCCAGACATGGACGCGATTGTCTTAAAGCGACTGGCACGCAGTTCGTTTTGGGCTTTCACCTCTGCTGGATGTTGAAGGGTGTGGAAGGACCACCCCCGCCGTGGGCAAGGCACTCTCACAACGGCACTTCAATGACACATGCACTTGTGATGACCTCTGTGCCAAGTGCCTTCCAGGCCTGAACCCCGACCCCTGAACACCCACGAGCCGTAAGGTCCTCGTTCCAAACTTGCAACCCCGTGGCCCTGTAACCCAAACCCAGCCAAGCCCAACCAGATCTAAACCCAAACCCAAGCCCCAAACTGCCCCAAACCCAAGCCCCAAACCCAAGCCCCAAACCCAAGCCCCAAACCCAAGCCCAAACCCAACCAAACCCATCTAAACCCAACCAACCCCATCACCTCGTGGAGCCACCCAAGACATCAGGAACAAGACCAGTGCCACCAACTCACTATCACAGCCCGGAGCTCGGAGTTCTTAAGGGCCTGCTTCTCGGGCGGTGGGGGGTGTTGAGGGCTTCAAGAGGTTTACGTTTTTTGGGAGGCCTTGTGGGTTTTCACGGGTGCGGTTCGGTTGTTTTTAGGGGGTTGAGGGTTTGGTGGGGTTTAGAATTTCTCAAGCCCAGCTGGGGGGGGGAAGGGGAGGGGAGGTCAGCAGTTTTAGGGTGTTGGCGCTTCAAGGGTCTAGCCCGGAGACCCTACGCTGCCCAAAAACCCGAAATCTCAATTGGGGTCTGGGCTTCCCCTAAAGAAACGGTATGTCAACAGGCATGTTAGGTTACTGTGGCAATTTGGGGGTTTGGGGGCCTTAACACCCTGGAACCCTAAAACCCCCTAAAGCCCCAAGACCTCCCCAAAAAATTCCCCAAAGCCCAGGAGATGCCCGAAAGCACCTAAGACCCCAAAGGTTCAAGCCCCAAAACCCACAAACCCACAAACCCCAAAGCCCCCCCAAAACCCCAAATCCCCCAAGCCCCTAAGATCCTTAAGACCCTAAAACCCCAAGACCCGAAACCCTAAACCCTAGCCCTAAACCCTACACCCGAAACCTTAAGGCCCGAAGACCCCTGAACGCCCCGGGCGCTTAGACATCAAGCCCGACAATCTGACCTCCTCTCAGGACAGAATGGTTGTCCATGGAGGTGGGCATCGCGTGGAGTTTGGGATTTAGGGGTTTAGGGGTTTAGGGGTTCAGGGATTTAGGGGTTCAGGGATTTAGGGGTCTAGGGGTTTAGGGGTTTAGGGGTTTAGGGTTCAGCGTTTAGGGTTGGGGATGGTTTGTGGCTTATGGTGTAGGGTTTCGTCAGATGCCCTCCGAGCCCGAGGCCCTAGCCACAGCAGATTTCCGGAGGCTGTGCTCAAACTCTGCTGGATCCCCAAACCCCCAAGCTGCCCCCAACCTCAATGCCAGCCCCCCAAACCTTCAACAGCCTTAGCCTTGACCCCCCAAAGTCCTAAGCCCAAAACCCTCAACCTCGACCTGCCCTAAACCCTAAACCTAAACCCTCTAAACCCTTTAAACCCTTTAAACCCCAAACCCCAAACCCCAAACCCTAAACCCTAAACCTTAAACCCTGAACCCTGAACCCTGAACCCTAAACCCTAAACCCTCTAAACCCTAAGTCCCAAACCCACCAGCCAGGCAGCGATGCCCGCGGAAGAGCGGCAGACGCATCGGAACCTCCAGGCTTCCTCCGACAAAA